TTTTTCTTGCGCAAGAAAAATACTTTCTTGGGGCAAGAAAGAGGCAAGAATGCGCAAGAAACGATTCTTGGGCAAGAAATGTCACAAGATCTTGCATTCTTGCTTAACAAGAACATCGACTAGGGAACCTATATACTTGCATATCCCCAGAAGAAGAATGATATTAATTCAGGATAAAATGTACTTCTTCTAAGAGGATAACAATGGATTCGAGAAGAATCTTGGCTTTGTTTTACAGAATTAAATCTTACAAATTGTTCCTGGACAGATGGAGAGCACACGAATATTAAATGGACCAAGATCTAATGCCAAATTTCTTGTCATTTGTAAGATGGCTCCTTTCGTTGTACTATAAGGAACGAAGGCTGGTTGTGCAATCAAACTACTGTGACTTGCCATATTGATGATGCAACCAGACTTTTGCTTTTTCATGATTGGCACTACATATTTGGCCATTAATGCATAACCTCTCACGTTAATATTAAATACTTTGGTCCAATCTTCGGCAGATATATTTTCAATTTCACCTAGGGTAAATATCGCAGCACTAAATGACAAAAAAATATTCAAAGAAATATATGTTAAAACAAAACCTTTATTTGAGACTGTATGATTTTGTCTTACTTATTCACTAGAATATCTATTGTCTTCCATTTAGTAAGAATGGCATTTACACTATTTTTAACGCTAGTATCATCTGCCACATCAAGTTCAACAGAAATGACACGCTCTGTATTTTCATTATTTGCGTCACCTTGTACCAATGCTTTATCAGTCAATATGGTTTTAACGACTTCATCAGCTGTTTGCTTGTTCACATCGGCAACTACCACTTTTGCTCCATGTAATGCACAGGTATGAGCAATCGAACTTCCAATAGCACCTCCCGCTCCAGTTACAAAGACGATTTTATTTAATAACAGTGATTGCCAATTACCGCTAGGGGGACCTACTTCAAACTTTTTATCTTGCACTGTAGAGCCCTCCATGATATAAGTACAGAAAAGTAAAAGTAAAACTATTTTGTCTTTCTATAGTGCACCAAGAATCATTGTATTGAAAGAAGAAAAATTTGTCATTTTTTCAAGTACGATAGAAAAAACATTTATTTTTTCTTTTCTTATCGCATGCTTCTCTATAACTAGACTATATTAGGTAACTGATAAATACTAAGGAGATATTGCTTTTCGCGCATACCGTTTGTTCGATGTGATATATAGCAAATGTCTTCTTTTGTTGCTTCTTTTCTCAGACCGTGTCATATCTGCTACTTTCTTCTGCTCAATTAGACGTGTCAATCTTATGTGTTACACTCGTCATAAAAGTGAGGTATCTGATAGTTACCTTAACAAAAGAAATCAATCAGAACACTACCACTATCTTACAACTTTCAGTCAATGAATATCTTCACTGTCATACAAACCTTGCGAATATAAACTATCGCACGATATTTCTCTCTTAGAGAAGTATAATTCTACTCACGAGGGAACCGCCCCAGGTGTCCGGCTCCGATTTCGTTCGTTCATACATCATTCGATAGAGGACCTCGAGTAGGCAAAAAGGCTAAAAGGATTTGGGCGGAGGGCCCTTTAAGACCCG